GCGTTTGAGATGGCTAGGTTGGCACAGGATAGAACAGCGTTTAGAGCTCCTGTACATAGGGTCCCTATGAGTCGCAAACCACTCGATGGCACATAACAACAACAACATATTACATATCATTTATTATGATTCACATAATCTTTGCATAGTCAGCAAAACACAAGTAAACCTCTTCTTGGTATTATCTGCTTTCAGTCAAGATTCATCTGACATTAGCAATGGTAGCCTTTGTTCCACTACCTCTTTTAAATACAGGTTGCATTTCTGGTAGTTCCTGTGGATGGACTATGCTAGTCTTTTTAATTGAGATTTTAATGAACATTTATCAACAACTTGGGTTTTCAGTCATTCATTATTGCACATTTTCCTCCCTTCTTCCCCCCCCAATCACTTTTTTTGGGGGGGGAGTTTCTTCATTGTTATATAGTTCCCCACCCCCACCCCAGACCACTTTATTATGCAGCTTTTATTCTGGACTCTTGTCATGCCAATAATACCTAATCATATATTCCTTTTATACAGTTCTCTCCCTCATCTGTTTCTGTAGATTATTTATCCCCTCTTTTCTTAGTTTTCCCCCAGGCCCCATATCAGTCCTGTTTTATAACAGTGACAATATAATTGATTCTTCAGTGGGTTTTCAGATACATTTCATGGGAGGAGATTGCCCAGCTTTTTCCCAAAAAGTGCATTTGAACTGCGTGCCTTAGAGTTGGCAGTGCAACTCCTTACCAGTAAGCCATGAGAGCTCCATTTTACCGTTTTGCTGCATTTTGACAAGACCATTTCATGAACTGTACCCATTAGGTCACATGGAAATTTGAATTTTACAACATCTCAAAATCATAGGAAGATAAATGCAGCGATAATTTAGGAAATAACTCTTTGAACACTAGTGTAAGTAGTGAGCAACTTGAGTTCTGTAAAACTAAACCACTGCCCTTGAGTCCTTTTTTGCTCAATGCAAATTCCCCACCACCCCACCTTTCCCATTGGGTTTCTGAGGTTGTAAATCTTAATGGAAACAGACTGCCTCATTTTTCTCCACAGTGGCTGGTCAGTTCATATTGCTGAACTTTCTAATAACAGCCGAAGCAGTGCTCCTTCATTTTCTATAAAGACCTTATTAATGAATAAAACTTACTAAACTTTATGACTTTAACCTCTGCTTTATTTTTACCACAGCACTTTGTTGTTGTTGTTGTTTGCTGTCGAGTTGGAACTGGCCCAGAGCTCACCCCTCAGTGGGTTTTCAGAGGCAGTAAATTGCACGAGCGTAGATTGTCTGTCCATCCTTCTGCTGTGGAGCAGCTGGTGGATTTGAACTGTGTACCTTTGGGATTGCAGTGCAACTTCTTACCATTGGGCCACAAGCACTTTAAGTCTGGCAAGCAAAAAAATAAAATTACCATCAAGTTCATTCCAAATCATAGCAACCCCATGTATTACAGACTAGAACTACACAGGAATTTTAAGGCTGTGACTTTATGTAAGCCGACTGCTGAACCATCTTTTATGATACCATTAGGTGGATTCAGACCACCAGTCTTTTGGATAGTAGTTGAACACTTAGCCATTTGTGTCACTCAGGACTTCCCTAAGTCGAGCCAGAGACTGAATTTCATATGTCAAACAATAAGTCGGTATCTTTAGATAATTGTGAAATTTATGATAGATCGTAGCCTTGCATTTAAGAAAATAAGTCGCATTCAATTAATTTCATCATCATTTCATGATATTTTTGAAAAGCAACTTTAGTAGAAATTAAGACAGGATACTGGAAGATAAGAAAAGGAAAATTGCAGTGATTATTGTTGTAAAAACAAGATTAGACTTATATCCGGTATGTGGAAAACTTAAGTAGGACCTAAAAATATATATATTTATCTCTACTGAATTATTTAGAAATCTCTTTAATTAAGAGGAAGCCCTAGTGGTGTAGTGGTTAAGTCATTCAGCTAGAAACCAAAAGTGTGATGGTTTGAATTTACCAACTACCCCTTGGTAGCAAGATGAGGCAGTCTGCTTCCATGAAGATTACAGTCTTAAAAACCACATGGGGCAATTCTACTCAGTTGTATAAGTTTGTTGACTACAAGTTGAAATTTACTCAGTGACAGTGGGCTTAGTTTGGTTGGTTTCAACTGAGAAAATAACCAAATGAAGGAATATTAAATATAAAGATATCAGTTTTACCATTATATGTTATTAATTTTACATAGTTCCTGAAGAGTTTATGTACAACCCTTTGACCAGAGTTTATGGAGAACCTCACAGAAGACCTGAAGTTCAAAATGCTACGATTGAGTTTATGGCTCCTTCAGAATATATGGTAATCTTCCTCCAACTTTTAATAAAAACCAGTGTTTTATTCTTGTACAGTGTTTTAAAGTTTATTAAAATTGTCTTTTGTATCTTTTCTGTTAAAAGAAAAAAGAATATATGTTAAGCTTTCATTTTTTTTAAGCAGTACAATATACTTGTTTCATAATACTGGGTTTTTAATAAAACAGTGTATCATTTGAAAAAATTCTTTGTTTCTATAGAAATAGCTAACTCATGTAAAAGAGTAGGTTCCTTACTAAAGTAAAAGTTCCACTTAAGTCCTTTGTGCCTGTCCAGAACTTTGTAGTATAATGTTAGTATCAATTTTACTTTTAAGTCACTTCTGATTTTTTTTATGAAGAATATTTTAATCCACTTGTTTTCCATATACCAGTTTAGAGAAAAAAGTATCTACATTTCTAGGACTTTTCTCAAGTTGTATATTTTAAGCTTAAAAAGCACAAATGTTCCATTTTATCCTGGAAAAGTCACTGCTTTTGAGTTGGTGTAT